TGGACTAAAATATGAACAAAAAGTGAACATTTTGCAAATTAGCATTTTAGCAAAAATTCTTAATGAATCTTTTATTATGAAACGTCTAAGCCAGATCTTACCACAATTTGAAGAGTGTATCCCCTTTCAGTTTATGACACATTTGCTGATCAGAACAAGAATCTGAAATATCCACTCTTATTACAAAAGAAAAACTTTGTAAAAAATAAGTAGTTTTCTACCTAAATGAGCTCTAATTTGGGGAGAAATTAGAGAAATGTAGTTAATAAAATACACTTGATATTTTTTTAAATGGGAATATGAATTTCCCCCTTCTATGCAAATTGTGAAACAGAAAAAAAATTATGATTTGGTTCCTCAGCACCTAAAATAATTTTCAGTGTTTTAATTGTGACAACTGTCAGTGTTTCACTTCACATATTAAAAATCATTAAAAATTCTGACACAATTGCAAATTATTTTTTTCATCAAATCAATTGTACAAATTTACCGAAGTGCTCATCAATGTTTGTAATGAAATGGGATAAATGAATTGATATAAATTTCAAATTTAAATCTAAAAGGGGAGATAACCTGAGATTATCTCCCATGGATCTAATTGGGTTTTGATTCAAATTGAGGTCTGTTTCTTACATTTTAATAGGAATGGAATGAAAGCTTAAATTGAAAAAAACTATCTGTTCAATTAGTCCACCATTTATATGAAGCAAACAGTAAATCACTTGAGTTGAACTGTAAGAACAATTAATATTTTTACTCTCCACTTGCTTTGTGAAATGGGCTTTAAATTTATCTTAATGTGATCAGTGGAATAGCAAAAGCTTCAAAGAAATATAAGCTTAATATAAGTCAGTGAAGTGTAAAATATAGGTCAGTGTTACATTATTAAATTTGGCTTTACCTGATCTAAACTAGACTTAATGGGAATGCTATTTTGTTAGTACTGATAAAATGACATACAACAATTAGTTCACTACAGCTTATAATTTACACCAGAGTGACTCCAGTTAATAAGTGTTATGATCAGATCCAAACAAGATTTAAAATATTAGTTCACTACCACTCATAATTTACACCAAAGTGATTCCAGTTAATAAATGATATGATTATATCCAAACAATTAACACTTTTAAACAGTAAATGAGCAAGGGTAATTTATTGTTTATTGTGATTTTATTTTCTATAGAGAAAGATATACTAACCAAGTAATGAATACATTTTTGCAAATATTTTAGGTGACACATTATTCATGGCTGGATGTGGCAAATTCTTTGAAGGAAGTCCAGATCAAATGTACAAAGCTTTGGTAGAAATACTGGCAAAGTTACCACTTAATACAGTATGTAAAATAAGTGAAAATAAATACAGAATAGAATTTCATACTTAATGTTTGTTCAATTAGCTTTTCATTCATATCTATGCCACAACCTCTTAGGCTTATCTTGTATCTATTTTATTATAATTTTAGTCGAGCTTGCGACTTGTCGCAGAAAGCTCGACATAGGGAAAGTGATCCGGCAGTGGTGGCGGCGGCGGAGGAGGCGGTGTTAGCTAACTTCTTAAATCTTTATATTTTCCAAGGTGGAAGACCTGGATGCTTCATACTTTGTATATAGATGCCTTATGTTATGAAGTTTCTGTCTGTCATATTTCTCTCTTATTATGAGTAATATGATAACTATATTTAATATGTGCGTACCTTGCAAGGTCCTCATGCCCGTCAGACAGTTTTCATCTGACCTCGACCTCATTTCATGGATCAATGAACAAGGTTAAGTTTTCGTGGTCAAGTCCATATATCAGATACTATAAGCAATAGGTCTTCTATATTTAGTGTATGGAATGATTGTAAGGTGTACATGTCCAACTTGCAGGTGTCATCTGACCTTGACCTCATTTTCATGATTCAGTGGTTAAAGTTAAGTTTTGTGTTTTGGTCTTTTTTTCTAATACTAAATGCAATAGGTCAACTATATTTGGTGATGGAAATATTTTACAATGTACATGTCAGTCTGGCAGGTTTTATTTGACCTTGACCTCATTTTCATGGTTCATTGCTCAATGTTTAGTTTTTGTGTTTTGGTCTGTTTTTCTCAATCTATAACCAATAGGTCAACTATATTTGTTGTATGGAATGATTGTAAGGTGTATATGTCTGTCTGGCAGGCATCATCTGACTTTTACCTCATTTTCATGGTTCATTGGTCAATGTTAAGTTTTCATGGTTAAGTTTGTTTCTTAGATACTATAAGCAACAGGTCAACTATGTTTAATGCATAGATTGATTGTAAGGTGTACATGTCTGTCTGACATGGTTCATCTGACCTTAACCTTATTTTCATGGTTCATTGGTCAATGTTTAGTTTCCTGTTTAAGTCTGTTTCTTAGAAACTATAAGCAATAGGTCAACTATATTTGGTGTATCGAATAATTGTAAGGTGTACATGTATTTCCGGTTTGGTTTATCTGACCTTGACCTCATTTTCTTGGATCATGTTAAGTTTATGTGATACTTTTAGTAAAGCTTTATATTTAGGACTATCAACATAAAATCAATGGTCAGTAAAGAAGGCGAGACATTTCAGCGTGTGCACTCATGTTAAATTACTTGTTATATTTGGACAAGTCTGGTTACTATACAGTTTAGCTGTTGTTAAGGAAAGAAGGAATATTTTGTTGTATTAAGGTCAACATATTGAATACATTTCCTTCATTTGCAAACCACCTCTTGAAGCAATGATAAATAGTAGTGGTAAAATATATATCTGCCTCAAGCATTATTATTTTTACATAAACTAGTCTTTTACATTTTTTTGGTCACTGTTTTTCAACTCATTTGGACCAAATGGCCAGTGTGGGATCAACCATCACTTGGTGTCTGTTGATGTCATTGCTAACTATCTCCAAACATTTTAAAATTTTCCTCCTGTTAAAAAAAATAAAATTTTCTCCACTGTTGTTGAGAGATAGATATTGCAATATTATTGGCATAATGCACACACCCAGACTAGCTGCTAGTATTATATTTGTTGAACATCTACTTATTATTTTTTCTAAACTGGGATTTCAAAAAGGTTTTACTCCACTATGGGCTCAAAGGATTTTAAATAAATATAATTTTTATGATAAATGATTGTCTTTCAACAGTCTGGCCATGGGATTAGGCTTGCTATGGGATACCCCTGCTTACCTGTAAATTCTTTATTTGGAGGGAGAATCTTTTCTGTCAAAAGCTCATATTTGGACAAAATCTCAATAGAGCTTTTGATTAACTCCAAATAAATATGCACTTTTTTATCTTATTTTACTTTTTTACTCCCTGTAAACAAAATGTTGGTGTATATAGGAATCATCATGTCTGTCCCCCTTCATGTCTGGGGCATAAATTTTTGTACCATGGAACTTAGGTTAATCAAACTTGGTGTGCAGATATATCATGGGACAGGGGTGTGTCATACCAGATTCAGGTCACTGTGATCTTGAATTTAACCTTTGACCCCTATGATGATAAAGCCTTGTCCAATTTGTGTGTGGCTCGTAACTTATGTATTGTAAGACTTGTTATGCAGTTGCATCATAGACTGAGGGTGTTATATACCAAAGTCAGGTCACTCTGACCTTGAATTTTGACCTTTGACCACTGTTACAGTATATATAACATTGTATGATTTCAGTTTGGTGATGTAGCACTTAGATTGGCAAAACTTTGTATGCAGAAGCATCATACTGATTTCTGAATTTACAGTATACAAATCTCATACTTTGTTCCATTACATTTCCTTTTATTTATACATTATCTTCTCTACATAACCAATTGTGCATTTTCTTAATAATTTTTTGATGGATATAATTCTTAACCATCACAGAGAACTTTGCCATTTTCATGATGAGTTATGCTAGGAGGAATTAGAATTTTTTTTTTTTTCTTTTTTTTTTTCACCCACCTTACATTATATACTTATACCAGATGTTGTATTGTAAATTCAGAAATGTGTGTGTGCATTTATTATTTTGATTGTTGAACAAGTACAAAAATGTAAGATGAACTGTTGCAATTTTAGGCAAAGATGCTTACAAATAATGCTATCAATATCTATCTTTATTTTTACAACACCTATCCTGTTGCAAAGTTTGCAATAATAAAAACATCGCAAACATATCTGAATCTACAGTAATTAAAATTCATTACAGAGAGTATTTTGTGGCCATGAGTACACAGTAAATAATCTGAAGTTTGCAGCACATGTAGAGCCTTCTAGTGATGAAGTAAAGAAAAAATTAGCATGGGCAACTGTAAGTTTATCTGGTTACATTTTATGTCAATGCATTGTTTTGATTAAGTTTTATACATTTTATACAATTCATAATCTGTGCATTATTAAAAATGTTATTCTAATTGGACCTTGACAATATTACTTCATCGCTTGTTGACTTGTGTTTACATGTAGTAATTTTTGTTACATTTTTTTTTTAATTTCCCATAACAAAACATCAATTTTTGCTATTTCTAAGAAGCACACCCATAGCCTTTTTTTTATCCATAAATGAAAGTATAATTAAAATTGAGTAGAAAAGGCATTTACAATGTAACAGTGATATAGAAAACAAAAACAAAAGTTATATAACTAGCAATACAGGATCAACAAATAATCACAGTTACAGAAAGTAAACTCTAAGTACTATATCTATAGTTAAGAAATCATGCCGTCCTTTATATGTTTTTATTAAAATATAATTTCCTTATTTTTTGTTGTTCCATTATAAAAATATTTGACATCTGTTTTACAAAAGATGTGGAGAAGATTTAAACATCAAAGAAATATGTGTTGTTTAGTCTTAAGTCAAAACAGGACAGTATAAAATTGTAGGTGAAAATAGATTATGGCAACATTTTGACATATTCATTTCAGACACAAAGATCAAAAGGTCTTACAACAATTCCCTCCACTATTGAGGATGAATTAAAGTTCAATCCATTTATGAGAGTTAAGTAAGTACTTAGCATTAGTTTGCAATGATGTGATGGAGGTGGATTTATATAAAACTGCTCCCTGATTTTTATACGCCCGTCAATTTTTGACGGGACGTATTATGGTATACAAATGTCCAGTGTCCGTCATTCTGTCCGTCTGTCTGTCCGGCATAAAACATGTCGCACCGTAACTTGAGAATGACGTATCCAAATTTCATGAAACTTAACATAGTTGTTTCTTATGATGGTCAAACGATCTGTATACTTTTTGGTGAAAATAAGATTAAAAGTTTTTTAGTTTCGGGACTCAGTAACTAAAACAGGTGTGTGTTTTTTTTCACATGTCGCACCGTATCTCAAAAACAATTTATGATTATTGCTTAAAATTTTACACACTTCTTAGTTATATTAATCTTAAGGTCTGTATACTTTTTGGTGATGATTCAAAATTTTATTTTAGAGATATTGAGTATTTTGTTAAAAAAGGGGGAGGGGTTTTTCACATGTCGCGCCGTATCTCAAAAACAGTTTATGATTATTGCTTTAAACTTTACACACTTCTTAGTTATATTAACCTTAAGATCTGTATACTTTTTGGTGATGATTCAAAATTTTATTTTTGAGTTATTGAGTATTTTGTAAAAAAAGGGAAGGGGTTTTTCACATGTCCCGCCGTATCTCAAAAACGATTTATGATTATTGCTTAAAATTTTACACACTTCTTAGTTATATTAATCTTAAGATCTGTATACTTTTTGGTTTTGATTCAAAATTTTATTTTTGAGATATTGATTTTTTTTTTTTAAAAGGGGGGTTTTCACATGTCGCGCCGTATCTCAAAAACGATTTATGATTATTGCTTAAAATTTTACACACTTCTTAGTTATATTAATCTAAAGATCTGTATACTTTTTGGTTTTGATTCAAAATTTTATTTTAGAGATATTGAGTATTTTGTTAAAAAAGGGGGAGGGGTTTTTCACATGTCGCGCCGTATCTCAAAAACAGTTTATGATTATTGCTTAAAACTTTACACACTTCTTAGTTATATTAACCTCAAGATCTGTATACTTTTTGGTGATGATTCAAAATTTTATTTTTGAGTTATTGAGTATTTTGTAAAAAAAGGGGGAGGGGTTTTTCACATGTCGCGCTGTATCTCAAAAACGATTTATGATTATTGCTTAAAATTTTACACACTTCTTAGTTATATTAATCTAAAGATCTGTATACTTTTTGGTTTTGATTCAAAATTTTATTTTAGAGATATTGAGTATTTTGTTAAAAAAGGGGGAGGGGTTTTTCACATGTCGCGCCGTATCTCAAAAACAGTTTATGATTATTGCTTAAAACTTTACACACTTCTTAGTTATATTAACCTTAAGATCTGTATACTTTTTGGTGATGATTCAAAATTTTATTTTTGAGTTATTGAGTATTTTATAAAAAAAGGGGGAGGGGTTTTTCACATGTCGCGCTGTATCTCAAAAACGATTTATGATTATTGCTTAAAATTTTACACACTTCTTAGTTATATTAATCTAAAGATCTGTATACTTTTTGGTTTTGATTCAAAATTTTATTTTTGAGATATTGATTTTTTTTTTTTAAAAAGGGGGTTTTCACATGTCGCGCCGTATCTCAAAAACGATTTATGATTATTGCTTAAAATTTTACACACTTCTTAGTTATATTAATCTCAAGATCTGTATACTTTTTGGTTTTGATTCAAAATTTTATTTTAAAGATATTGAGTTTTTTGTAAAAAAAAAGGGGGTTTTCGCATGTGTCGCCGTATGTCAGAAACTATTTATGCTTATTGCATAAAAATTCACACACAAGACGACGGGCGTATCATGCGCTCAAGGCGCAGCTGTTTATTGAATTACTTGTATATTTTGTACTTATTTACTCTTGAAGCTACACATAATGAATTCTTTAATAAAATATGTTTACATTAATTTTGTGTTGGAAAATGCAATTTTGACCTAATCAGAGTAATGTTAAGTGTTTTCCTTTTTGAGAAGCTATATGTATATCAGAATTTGACACTAGACACTCTTGATCACTCTTGAGATCATTCAGATCAAGTTTGATTTAAACTGGCAGAATCAGTTGAGATGATATTATGTTTGAATAATCTAAAATTTTCACAAGAGGTGAATTCTATTCAGATGTTATAGAGGCTATTTTAATGAATTGGAATATCTGAGTATATATCATTAATAAATTGTTTGACACAATTTGGATCTAAAGAATACCCACTGTACTATGTTGTGTGTTCTCAGAAAACAGGTAGAAAAGAGGTTGAAATATAGCTAACCAGTCAGTAACTATATGGATTCAATTGGACTTTGTGCAGTCTGCAAAGAATTGTTCTTCAGGAACATCTTGAGTCATACAAATTAAGTAATTATATCTGAATTCTTCACAATAAATCGTTCAATATGTGTTTTAACAGCAATCAGTTTTTCCTGATAGCTCTAGTTGCATTTAAAAAAATATGTGATACTGGTAAATAAAAAAATATGTGATACTGGTAAATAAAAACTTGCACAAGGCAAAGCATTTTTCACTATAAGTATAAGAAAAGATGATCATATACTGTTTGTACTTTGCTTACAGAGAGAGTAGCGTGCAAGCTCATGTTCGTAAAACAGATGCAGTGGAGACAATGGGAGCTTTGAGGGCAGAAAAAGATAACTTCAGAGGTTGATGTTGACAATTGTGCAATACCTAATTAGAAACATTTATTATGAGTAACAGCTGTACAATAAATGAATATAAACTAACTGTTAAGTAGCATTAACTACTTGGCTTCTCACAGTGAATATCACAATAATGTTATTTTTACAGTAAAAATTACCATATATTTGGAAACATACATAAGACCAAAGCACATTAAATATAGTGAATTGACTATTTCTTCATTTCTTTACTGATTTTTGCCTTTTAATGTCTTATGTTATTTTTATTATGTTAATGTTCTTACTAATGAGGGTGGGGCCTAAGTGGCCGAGTGGTGGATGTATTTCAACTTCTGTATCACTAGCCTGGCAACACTGAAGTTGTAAGTGTGAATCTAGCATGCGGTAGGTGCGTGTTACTCCAATCTAAATTGACAAGGATTGTCAGTTTTCTGCTGAGGGTCCTCTCCACATTTCTCCACCAATATAAACTGACTGCCACGAAATAGTCAATAGTGCTGAAAGTGGTGTTAAACACCAATCCATCAATCAATCTGACTAATGGTCAGACAAGACATTAGGTGATATAAACAAGATTTGGGCCACACTTAAGATTTTTATGTAATTTTGCATGAAATTAGACTTGTTGACTTGAAAAAGAAAATTACATGTATAGTATTTATGTTACAAGAGAATATACATAAAAAGCTTTGTAAATATGCATTTGATCACCCTTTTTATGCCCGTTTATGGGACGTATTATGGTATACCGTTGTCCGTCCGTCCGTCCATACGTCCGTTGTCAACATGTCCAACAATAACTCAAAAACGCTTTGAGCAGTTTTCATGAAACTTTGGTGAACTTTTTATATCTATATGAGCTCCCTTTCGATTTTTTTCAATTTTAGATTTTAAGTTTCCGAGTTATGGGGTTTTATTCAATAAAAAAGGGGGATTTTCCAGTTTTTGGACTATAACTCAAAAATGCTTTCAGCATTTTTCATGAAACTGATGAATTGTTTATATCTATTGATGTGAGCTCCCTTTATTTTTATAAATATTAGATTTTATGTTTCTGAGTTATGGGGTTTTATTTCTTAAAAAAGGGGGATTTTCCAGTTTTCGGACAATAACTCAAAAATGCTTTGAGCAGTTTTCATGAAACTTTGGTGAATTGTTTATATCTATTGACGTGAGCTCCCTTTTGATTTTTATAAATTTTAGATTTTACGTTTCCGAGTTATGGGGTTTTATTCATTAAAAAAATGGGGATTTTCCAGTTTTCGTACAATAACTCAAAAATGCTTTTAGCAGTTTTCATTAAACTTTGATGACTGGTTTATATCTATTAAAATAACCTCCCTTTAGTTTTTTTATAAATTTCTGATATGACATTGAGGAGTTATGGTACTTTATTCTTTGAAAAAGCGAAGGGCATATCATGCGCTCATGGCGCAGCTCTTTATTTATACTGAAACTTTTCACAGTTTCTGTCCTTCTATTATAGTTTTCATTATAATCAAAATGCTTTAACAAATCATCACTTTCCACTGAATGTGACCTACCAAATTAGACATATCACAGGGTGTCTACTTACATGAGCAACACGACATATGCCACATGTGGAGCAGGATCTGCTTACCCTTCTGGAGCACCTGTGATCACCCCTAGTTTTTGGTGGAGTTCGTGTTGCTCAGTCTTTAGTTTTCTATGTTGTGTTTTGTATACTATTGTTTTTCTTTGGTCTTTTTTTCTTATTTTGCCATGGAGTTATCAGTTTACTTTCGACTTATGAGTTTGAATGTCCCTTTGGTATCTTTCGCCTCTCTTTAAACTCCTATATAGAGCTAGTTTATGATTTCAGTCATAATACCATTTTTGTCTCGCCGCAATGAAAGTCACGGAAAGCGAGACATAGGGATTGCTTTTCAAGTGACAGCGACGACGGCATCAACAATTGTTAAGTTTTCTGCTTAAGTTCGTTTGATAGGAACTACTTGGGATAGATCATTGATATTTAATATAAAGTTGCATTACTAACAGTACATATCAGTTTGACAACTATATTGAGGCCCTGCCCCATAGGACATGGTACAGTGACTTTGAATTAATTAGCAATATTCAATGTTAAGTTTTCTGCTTAAGTTAGATTGATAGGAACTACTTACAATAGACAATGATATTTTCTATAAAGTTTCATTACTGTCTGTACATCTTCCAATTTCAGGTCCTATGCACTAGATCATGATCCAACGACTGATTAATAAGCAATGCTGCTATCCATCAGATTGTCTTTTTCTGAATTTTATGCTGACAGTCGAGACATATCTCTGTTTATTGTAGGTTTTGAATGCTGATCATTTTTGTTGTCTACAATATTGGATCTTGTATTGCTGATCATTTTGTTGACATTCTGTATCTTGTATGGCTGTCTATCAATTATAGTTTTCAAGTTATTAGGCAAAATACTAAAAGTGGCAAACATTCATCATTCCAGGGCAATAACTCCTATAAGGCATTGTCTGATAATTTTGGTAATTTTGGTACAAAAAGAGAGTCACTAAATATGTAATATTTGCTCTATTTTTAACCATGTGACCAAGTTTGTAGATGAAGAGGCACAAAATTAACAAACCGCAATCTACATAACTTAAGAATAGTATGATGTTTTATTTCAATTGGTTCAGTAGTTTACTGGAAGATTTTTTAACAAGTTTATAAACAGCCCACACCAAGTGATAGAAAAACCTCATACTGACTGAGAAAGTAACAAGGATTTCTTCAGTACATTTCTTTTATTTGAAAAAAAATAACAACATATATTTGTATATATACTCAACACATGCTGTATAAGTCTAGCACCAATATAAATTTTATACAAATGGTCAACATAATTGTTTTTAATAATATGGTATATAAATAATAAAAGTGTACATAAAGGATGTTAATTTCTCTTAACAAGCATCTATATTCTTATATGAGTTCCTTATCTATTTTCCTGGTTTCAATATTACAATTCGGTATATAAATTATGTTAATACACATGAAACACAAATTTAGTTTTACATTTACCCGTACTATATCACAACAGGAATCACATTAATCAATAATTTAATTTGGGATGTAACACGTCTTCTGATTGGCTAAAAGTTTTTTGTCTATCAGCTCATAGACATAATTTTGTCATGTGACCATGACATCATCAACATTTTTTTTCATGATTTACTCATTAAAAATTGAATTTACAATTAAATTATAAGGACTGACTAATATTTTTTCTGTCTATTCGAAATAACATAAATAAAAGAACAGAGTTCCAATGTCCCCCACGTTGCACATATTTTATATTTCAAAGGGCATAACTCTTTTAAAAAAGTCGATCGGCCACAATTATAAAACTTGTCCGAGATATTGCTGATATTAACCTATAGTATAAGTTTTATAAAAATCTGGCAAGAATTGTACCCGTGAAAGCGCTAACGAGGCCATTTTCCATAAATATTATATTTCCAAGGGGTATAACTCTTTTAAAAAAGTCTATCGGCCACTATTATAGAACTTGTCTGAGATATTTCAATATTAACCTATAGTATAAGTTTTATAAAAATCTGGCAAGAATTGTACACTAGAGAGCGCTAACGAGGCCATTTTCCATAAATTTAATATTTCCAAGGGGCAAAACTCTTTTAAAAGAAGTTGATCGGCCACCATTATAGATCTTGTCCGAGATATTGCTGATATTAACCTATAGTATAAGTTTTATAAAAATCTGGCAAGAATTTTACCCGTGAGAGTGCTAACGAGGCCATTTTCCATAAATTTAATATTTCCAAGGGCATAACTCTTTTTAAAAAAGTCGATAGGCCACCATTATAGAACTTGTCCGAGATATTGCTGATATTAACCTATAGTATAAGTTTTATAAAAATCTGGCAAGATTTGTACCAGTGAGAGCGCTAACGAGGCCATTTTCCATAAATTTAATATTTCCAAGGAGCATAACTTTTTTAAAAGAAGTTGATCTGCCACCATTATAGAACTTGTCCGAGATATTGCTGATATTAGCCTATAGTATAAGTTTTATAAAAATCTGGCAAGAATTGTACCTGTGAAAGCGCTAACAAGACCGGACGGACGGATGCCCGTCATTTCCATGTCCCCCGCAACACGTTACGCGGGGGACAAAAATGCGGGTTTTTCTGTGTGCACCACATTTTTGATGTTATTTCTTCAAACAGAAAAAATATTACAGTCATTCCTTAAATAAAATCATGTTGAAACATTAAAATAGAAGATATTCTGATGAACTTGCTATAGGGATTGAAACTTTTTAAGATAAAAACTGTTATTGCAAATTGAAAATATTTTAGACAACATACAATTTAAAAGGAAAAATTTCAAATCTATAATAATTTTACCATTCATGTAAACGTAGTTTATTACTGCAGTCAGTGAAATGTTAGATGTAATTAACCATTACTTCAATAACTATCTGGAAAGTGCTATACATACCAACATTGAGGGAATTTCCTGGAATTGGACAAGATTTACTACACTGTTCATTTTTAATACATTACAGTTTAAATGATAACACTCGACTGTACAACAGTCATTATTTGATAAAAGGGATGTCAGAACCATTAATACCATAGTTGTTACATGGAGAAATAAAAAAACTAACTTGGAAGCGGGAAAGTAAACAATAATCAAATTTGTTTTTGCATGAACTGCCCTAAAATAGGATGGAAGCCAATATCAAACAGATCTTGACCTTCATTAATTTTGCATTGCCTCAAATCTACCAAATTTCCACTTTTTTATTTTTGTTCTTATTTTGAAGCATTTTTTCTTTGAACTCTTTTAACCGCTGACTGCATTTTGATAAGCTTTTTCGCTTTTCAAGATTATGACCTTGAAACTTAAAGAACTAGTGCTATTGTTGTAACAAAGATTATTTCACTTTGGTAGAGACTTATATAAGACTTCTTTGCAGTCAGACTATTATACCAACAAGAATCTTCACAACAGACAAATTACCAGCCAACTTTTATTCATTTTTTAAAAGTGTAAGCAGAGATCTAAACAGATCTCAAAACTCAACTATCTATTTATAACATCAGTTAAAGATTTGACTAGTTTTTCCATGCACTTTATAGCTTGTGAGTCGGGCAACAGGAGATGGAGTGACCAAAGCTACCATTATCTATTAATAATATTATATAAAGATTTGACTAGTTGTTCCATGCACTTTATAGCTTGTGAGTCTGGATGTTCTATCACTGGATTTCTCCCCACTTCACAACACGATGTCACTCTCTGAAATCACAAAAGACAGTAAAAATCCAAGAAGAGGATTGGCTTTTATGTAGCAAGCATTTTAGTTATTTTATAAGATAAAGCTATTATAAGGGTTGGTTAGAGTGACAGAAAATATGTCTAACATATTCCTATGCATATCTATAAAACAGTACATCAAAACCTGTGGAGTTGTAAGATATATACATGTATTCAGATTGTTGTTCAATGTGAAATATATTCACAAGTTATCCTAGTATATCCAATCTAGACATTACAGTCATAACATATTGACTTTTTCCAATCATGTGAAGAGAATTAGGAAAAATCAATCCAAATAATGAAACTATATACTGACTTTACAAAACCATGTTATTCATAATTGTTGGTTTATCTATAGTTTGTTAGACCTTTTTAAATCTTGAAAAGTAAATGATAAAAAAAAAATCCAGTTTATCCATTATATTACTTATTTTACAGTGCATATTTATCAAATATTCAAATCCATTAGTATTTGAATAAAAAGATCTGCTAGTGAAAATAAAATGGCTGTTGTGATCATTAACTGTACCTACCTTTGTATAAGTTGGATTGTGAAATAAATATTTACTAAAGAAAATTTTTATATCAATTGATTAAAATTCTGGAAACCATTGTCAAAGTTCCTATAACAATGAGAATAGATCGGATATAAATTCTATTACCACCCATTAAGTTGGGTTTTTATTAACCTACATAAAGATTTATAGAACTCAAATCGACTTTACTGTGGATTCATTTATTTATGTTAGTATCAATTTTTGTGGTTCAACAAAAAATAGCTAGTATTTTAGGAAACTTTATTCAGGTTTATAACATTTGTTCCTATCAAAATAAACAAGAGTGCACACGCTGAAATGTCTCACCTTCTTTATTAATCATTGATATTATGTTGATAGTCCTAGATATAAAGCTTTATTACAACTGTCACATAAACTTAACATTAATAAAAAAACTAAACATTGACCAATGAACCATGAAAATGAGGTCAAGGTCAGATGAACCATGCCAGGCAGATATGTACAGCTAATAATTCTTCCATACTACAAATATAGTTGACCATAACACGAAAACTTAACACTGAGCAATGAACCGTGAAAATGAGGTCAAGGTCAAATAAAACCTGTGCGACCGACATATAGATCATAAAATATTTCCATATACCAAATATAGTTGACATATTGCATATAGTATTAGAAAAAAAGACCAAAACTCAAAAACTTAACTTTGACCACTGAACCATGAAAATGAGGTCAAGGTCAGATGAAACCTGCCAGCTAGACATGTACACCTTACAATCATTCCATACACCAAATATAGTAGATCTGTTGCATACAGTATAAGAAAAACAGACCAAAACACAAAAACTTAACTATAACCACTGAACCATGAAAATGAGGTCAAGGTCAGATGACACCTGCCAGTTGGACATGTACACCTTACAGTCCTTCCATACACCGAATATACTAGACCTATTGCTTATAGTATCTGAGATATGGACTTGACCACCAAAACTTAACCTTGTTCACTGATTAATGAAATGAGGTCGAGGTCAAGTGAAAACTGTCTGACGGGCATGAGGACCTTATAAGGTACGCACATACCAATTATAGTTATCCTGTTACTTATAATAAGAGAGAATTTAACGTTACAAAAAATCTTAACTTTTTTTTCAAGTAGTCACTGAACCATGAAAATGAGGTCAAGGACATTGGACATGTGACAGACGGAAACTTCGTAACATGAGGCATCTATATACAAAGTACGAAGCATCCAGGTCTTCCACCTTCTAAAATATAAACTTTTAAAAAGTTAGCTAACGCCGCTGCTGCCGCCGCCGGATCACTATCCCTATGTCGAGCTTTCTGCGACAAAAGTCGCAGGCTCGACAATAAAAAATTGTATTTGGTTAAGCATTGAAATTGAAGTTTACCCCTATCCCAAAAATAGGTATACCACAAACATTAATCAATTAACAGTATTTGTTTGTCCTCTCTATAAGTATAAGAGTCTATTTTTTTGTGGGAAGTCACTGCTGAACTTCCTCTTCAAAATTGCTTTCTTCACATTTATTACATTCAAAAACTGTATAATATATCTTCACAATAATTATGCACTAGTGAAGAATCATCATATCATATTAGAATAAATAATGGATTTTTCATATGAACAGTTGAATAGAAGGAAAATTATAATCAACTTTACTCATGACTCTATTAACATGGCTATAACAACAAAAAATATGTATAATATACCATGTCTATAGGTATCCTGGCTAATATAGGTATCTTTTGTTCCTCAGAAAGTTTTTCTATCTCATCCTCTGGAAATATGTTTGTCACTTCCTGCAAGAACCCACATGTGAATAATTACTGTTATTTTGCTTTGTTATTTGATGTTTCCTCCAAAAAAAACCCCAAAAAACACTTGTACATTGTATCAAAACATTGAATTGGAGATGAACTTTCAGTTTGATATAAATGTCAAATTTATTAAATACAATGAAAAGAAGATAAAAAAACTGATATGCATGTCATTTAACCAACTTTTGTTTATCAACTTTAAAAAGTATCAACCATGACAATATAAAGGTACTTGTAATGCATAAAATAGTTAACAAAGGTATGGAAATATTTTTGGCAGATTGATTGCAAAGATTAGATGATCATTTTAGCTGTTTACAGTCTATCTATCATGATTTTAAAATAACTGGTAAAATGCTTAAATTGGTCACTTTATGTCTTTTCATTTTCAATGTTTAAATTGTTTATCCTTTTTGTAAATCTTGTACATATAGCTGATAATTTTCGCTGCTAGAATCGGTCTATCTATTATAGTTTTAAAGATAACACACAAAAAGATAAAAGATTTTGATATTTTGAACATTTTGAATTTTTACTGTTTTTTTCTATTGGTTTTTGTTTTCAAGATGTTAGACAATTTAAATACTTGCATTTAACCTTCTGTTATAATTTTTTTTTTAAACAGTTATGTTTATAAATTATCAGAAAAACTGGGAAAAAATCTGAAACTAGACACCCTAAGGATTATTATGACCAATGACTAAGAAGTTTTAATACTTTAAAGACAGACTATGACAACAAGTGATTGGACTTAGTTTAAACTTCTGGCCAACTGAGTTCCAGAAACATGTAGCTTACATCGCAACAAGGACACACAAATGTGCTCATATTGACAACCAATCCCAAGATCTTCACACCCATCTTCCTACAGAAGTTAACCTCTCTCCTAACTGTTGCTATGGAGACACCTTGAGATGTTGTAACTATGATGGCTCCATCAGGCTTCACATTTTTTAAAACTTTGATAGCTGTAAGATGTTCATCACTTGTACCAGGAGGAGTATCTGAAAAAGTGAACTATTTTTATAATTCTGAGACTTAGTGCTAATACTATGTTAACAAGTACTATCTTTCAAAAAAATATCTGACGCATTCAACTGTGAGCATAGAGTTTAAAACACACCATGAATCTTTATCAGGTTTTTTTTTTTTATCATAGTTAAACAAGAGTGCACACGCTGAAATGTCTCGCCTTCTTTACTGACCATTGATTTTATGTTGATAGTCCTAAATATAAAGCTTTACTAAAAGTATCACATAAACTTAAAGGGAAAGTCCACGATTTTTTACTTATCATCTAAATATGTTCATCTTAACATAAAAAACACATTCACAAAGTTTTAAATTTATATTCTTTCGAATAACGGAGAAAATCAAGTATTTGTAACTTTTTTGGTTGACCTACGTCACTGGGTTGTGACGTTTTAACCCGAGTTGTTGAATCATGGGAAAAAATATTATCTGTTAAAGACTTAATTGCTTATCGAAATTTTACGTAATTAAAAGCGCACAGATGATCGTTGGTCGTAGTTAATAACCACAATATAAGAATGAAAGAAATTGAATATGCGTGTACCTTTTTGTATTGATTGAATAATACTTCCTATTTGAAATTAACTTAATATAAATATTTTCGAATTAATTTCATAAATTATTGAGATTTTTTCATAAAATATCTATAGAACATTTTTACTGATATTGAACTGAAAATATTTTAAGTTTTTTTTACCGTTATAACTTTGATAACCATTTCAATGCAAAATATTTGTGAACAGAGTGTGTATATTATTTTGTAAAGTCATTGTTTATTTCTCGATTTGAGGAGAATTCGTTTGAACTTTACCTTGCAGCAATTTAGCCTCAGGCGCACACAGGTGTGAATTCAAGCGTACACAGGTGTGAATATTGTCATTTTGAATGGATTAACAGAAAGAGTATAGCGTGATTAATATACCCAGATGAAATACCCGATGACAAATAGAGAAACAATAATCAAATTGTATAAATTAATTGAAAAGTAACATTCAACTTTTTAATTCCGGAAGTGTTACAATATTGAAATGGATCAATTTTCGGTTACGTTCTATGCAATTAGCATAAAGTTAAGAAATGAAGTTAAAAGAATAGTACTTTTAATCTTAAAAATTAAATGTTACATTTCCCAATTAATAATCATTGCACATCTGTTTAATTTACTTTACCGGAATTCTTTAACTTGTATTTAAATCTAGCGATGTTTAAATGCTAACAATCGTAAAACTATCGCAATTTTAAAGTTTTTAATTGAAAAAATACAACAGTACAACATGCATGATTTTTTTTAATTTTCTTATTAATATTTCATTCTTACATAATTAAATTCATTTGACAATCACTTAGACAAATTATTTGTGAAAAGATTACCCAATTATCGTTTATTTCATTAATGAATATACATACATTATAAATCTAAGCTAATATATGGCAAGCCGTTGTGGTATTTATTCCCTATTTATTAATATTAAAAAATCATTTATTAATATTAAATATTATTTTTTAATATTAATAAATCGATTTTTTAATATTAATAAATATTTTTTAATATTAATAAATAGGTAATTTTTAATATTAATAAATGGGTTTTATTTATTGATATTAAATATTCAATTTTTAATATTAAATATTCGATTTATTAATATTAAAAAATGATTTGTAATATTAAAAAATAGATCCTATTTATTAATATTAAAAAATCATTTTTTAATATTAATAAATCATTTTTTAATATTAAAAATTCATTTTCTAATATTAATAAATGGTCTTATTTTTTAATATTAAAAAATGAATATTTAATATTAAATATTCAGCTTGATTTTTTAATATTAAAAAATCATTTTCTAATATTAATAAATACGCCACCTACATATAAGATATTCAAAAAGTACCTGCTAGAGATATAGGAAATTCATCGAGTACCTGCTATAACTTTAGGACATTCAACAAGTACCTACTATATCTGTAGGACATTCAATAAGAACCTTCTATACCAATAGGATATTCAACAAGTACCTGATATACCAATAGGACATGAAACAAATACCTGCTTTAACTATAGGACATTCAACAAGTACCTGCCATGACTATATGATATTCAACAAGTACCTGCTGTAACTGTAGGACATTCAACAAGTAACTGCTTTAACTATAGGACATTCAACAAGTTCCTGCTTTAACTATAGGACATTCAACAAGTACCTGCTATAACTATAGGACATTCAACAAGTACCTGCTATGACTATAATACAAGACATTAAACAAGTAACTGCTATATCTATAGGATATTCAACACGTGACTCCTTAATCTATAGGCCATTCAACAAGAACCTACTATATCAAAAGGATTTTCAACAAGTACTTGCTATAAATATAGGACATTCAACAAGTACCTTTTATAACTAAATGACATTCAACAAGTTCATACTATAAAAAGCAAATTCAACACGTAACTATTATATGTCTAGGACATTCAACAAGAGCTTACTATACCGATATTATATTCAAAAAGTACCTGCTATAGATATAGAAAATTCATCGAGTACCTGCTATAACTTTAGGACATTCAACAAGTAACTGCTATAACTATAGGACATCCAACAAGTACCTGCTATAACTATAAGACATTCAACAAGTACCTGCTATATCTATAGGATATTCAACACGTAACTCCTAAATCTATAGGCCATTCAACAATACCTACTATACCAATAGGATTTTCAACAAGTACTTGCTATAAATATAGGACATTCAACAAGTGACTGTTATAACTAAATGACATACAACAAGTTCATACTATAAAAAAGCAAATTCAACACGTAACTGCTATGTGTCTAAGACATTCAACAAGAGCCTACTTAACCGATAGGATATTCAAAAAATACCTGCTATAGATATAGGAAATTCATCGAGTACCTGCTATAACTTTAGGACATTCAACAAGTACCTGCTATAACTATAGGACATTCAACAAGTTCATACTATAAAAAAAGCAAATTCAACATGTAACTGCTATATGTTTAGGACATTCAACAAGAGCCTACTATACCGATATTCAAAAAGTACCTGCTATAGATATAGGAAATTCAACAAGTACCTGCTACAGCTATAGTATAATCAACAGGTACCTGCTATACGTAAAGAACATTCATCAACTACCTAGTAATTATATTGGACATTCATCAACTACCGGCTATAACTATGATATTCAACAAGTTCCTACTGTAAAAAAGGAAATTCAACACGTACCTGCTATATATATAGGACATTCAATAAGAAGCTCGTATACCGATAGGATATTCAACAAGTACCTGCTATAGCTATAAGACATTCAACAAGTACCTGCTTTAACTATAGGACATTCAACAAGTACCTGCTATAACTATAGGACATTCAACAAGTACCTGCTATGACTATAAGACAAGACATTAAACAAGTAACTCCTATATCTATAAGATATTCAACACGTAACTCCTAAATCTATAGGCCATTCAACAAGAACCTACTATACCAATATGATTTTCAACAAGAACTTGCTATAAATATAGGACATTCAACAAGTACCTTTTATAACTATATGACATTAAACAAGTTCATACTATAAAAAAGCAAATTCAACACGTAAATGCTATATGTCTAGGACATTCAAAAAGAGCCTACTATACCGATAGGATATTCAAAAAGTACCTGCTATACACAAAGGAAATTCATCGAGTACCTGCTATTACTTTAGAACATTCAACAAGTAACTGCTATAACTATAGGACATCCAACAAGTACCTGCTATTACTATAGGACATTCAAAAAGTACCTGCTATGACTATAAGACATTCAACAAGTACCTGCTATATCTATAGGATATTCAACCCGTAACTCCTAAATCTATAGGCCATTTAACAAGAACCTACTACACCAATAGGATTTTCGACAAGTACTTGATTTAAATATAGGACATTCAACAAGTACTTGTTAAAACTAAATGACATTCAACAAGTTCATACTATAAAAAAGCAAATTCAAGACGTAACTGCTATATGTCCAGGACATTCAACAAGAACCTACTATACCGATAGGATATTCAAAAAGTACCTGCTATAGATATAGGAAATTCATCGAGTACCTGCTATATCTATAGGAAATTCAACAAGTACCTTCTATAGCTATACTATAATCAACAGGTACCTGCTATACGTAAAGAACATTCATCAACTACCTAGTAATTATATTGGACATTCATCAACTACCGGCTAGAACTATGATATTCAACAAGTTCCTACTGTAACAAAAGGAAATTCAACACGTACCTGATATATATATATATAGGACATTCAATGAGTACCTACCTACTTTACCAATAGGATATTCAACAGGTACCTGCTAAAGCTATAGGATTTTCAAAAAGTACCTGCTATAGCAATAGGACATTCAACGAGTACCTGTTATAACTATAGGACATTCAACCAGTACCTTCTACAACTATAGGACATTCAACAAGAACCTTCTATACCAATAGGATATTCATCAATTACCTATTATAGCTATAGAACATTCAACAAGTACCTGCTTTATCTGTAAGACATTCAACAAGAACCTACTATACCAATAGGATATTCAACAAATACCTGCTATAACTATAGGACATTCAACAAATATACCTGATATAACTAGATGACAATCAACAAGTTCCTACTATTATTACTGTACGACATTCAACAAGAACATATTTTACCAATAGGACATTCAACAAGTACCTGCTTTAACTATAAGACATTCAACAAGTTCCTGCTGTATCTATATGATATTCCACTAGAACATACTATAGCAATAGAATATTCAACACTTACCTATTATAGCTATATAACATTCAACAAGTATTTGTTATATCTATAGGACATTCAACAAGTTCCGGCTATATTTATAGGATATTCAACTAGAACCTACTTTACCAATAGGATATTCAATAAGTACCTGC